TGCCAAATTGTATTATTCTAGTAGCATTTCAATCTATTCCTCACTGATTTCATTTCAAAATACAACGAAGGTAGACTAATATGAAAGTAATGATTTAAGCTTATATTGCCTGATCGAATGATATCATCAATACAATGATATAATTATTTGTTAGTTTATATTCAAACATAGTATGTAAAATAGAACTAGATTTATCAGCACTGTTTGTTTTCGCTATTGCAGCTTTGTTAGAACGACTGTTCGGTTAAGTGTTATAAAGATGACTATGATTAAAAGCATAGAATAAATTCGAACATTTTGTTTCATTGTACTATTAGTTTATGACATGTAATATGGTTCATCAAACCTTTAAGCTATTGTTAATGTATAATATCGAGATCAAGAGTCAATTATATCCTTTCAGATACAGCAATCTTTGATATGGATGATTGCTCTCATGATTAAGTTTGTCGATGGTGAAGTAATAATACAGTTGATGATTTCGTATAACGACGGTTGATTCTTTTGTTTTTTTTAATAAGTTTATAATGATATACTGATTAACTTGTTTGTAATTGAAATGACACAATGCTATATGTATTGCAAGTACCGAATCACACTAAAATAAAAGCAACTACTAAACGTATACTTGAAGTGAGTAAATGTCAACTAAAAATGAATCCAGATGATTCATCAGGCATTAAACTTGTAAAATATTCGAAATCAACGAAAACTTTATGTCTTTTTGTCAGCTCTAATAGGAAATATTGAATCCAATTCAGACTGCCAAAATAATATTATCATTTGACTCTTGAGTCAAATTCTAGAGTTTTGATATTCTAGCCTGGGCATTATTTCTATGTCATCGATGATCAAGGGTGTAGGTGTAGGTGCGAATTAAACGAAGTGAATGACTCACACCAACACCTTCGTCGACACCAATGCATCATCCGCACCCACACGCCACACCCACATTCTCTTCTATAATTATGCGAATAAATAAAATAAAAAGTACTAACACATACAGAAAAGATTGAATTTTGAGATCTACGATTTCGTTATCTTGTTTAGCCCTTTGAGGAAGGTGGTATATACGTATGTATCACTTATTTTTTAGTAGAGAAAAAAAAATGTTTTGTTTACATACAACTGTTAGATCTATAAGGCCATACGGGTTATAGATGATCCTATATGCCGTCTCTGTCATCTCATGCTTATCTTTTCTTTCTTTGTTTGTTCCTTGCTCTTATAGAGATTCTTTTAGAATGTTTTCTTTTCTTTCTGTTACTGTACAGTGACGTTATCATATTTCTCATCTCCTGATCTATTGTCTTTCGAGAAAATTCAAGAATATTTTTGCACTTTATTGCGCTTATATATATATATATGCTTCCGTTCTCATTGATGTAACTACGTTGTTCTTGATTTTGAAAAGGGATAAAAGTACTTTTGATCACCAATTTTTTTCGAGTTGTGTTTTTTTTATTTTCTCTTATTGGATGATTCTACATGACACATACAACGCTTCATCCGCATTCAGCACTGTTTCTCGAAGTCAAACAGATCAAAGTATGATCAAAGTAGTTAGTGATTACGGTGCGTGTATCTGTAAAAAAAAACAATGTATCTATTTTCATTTGTGAACATGCCGACCTCGAAATCAGACTGGATTCTGTTACATGTAATCAATTCACTTGACCATATGACAGCTATTGGATGTTGATGTGGGTGTGAATACGGAAAAGATATCACACTCACACCTATTATTGAGAAAGATAATGTGAAACAAATGCTGGAAGATTTTGGTGATAAAAAATATTGTTACTCTTTTGAAAAAGACTTATCGTTTCTCCTTTGCTATGAAGCGGAAGGATGTCGTAATCTTTAGATAAAAGAAGTGAAATAATTATCATATAAACTTTCAGATTCTTTAGTACAAAAGAAGTGCAAATCAGATTCAATATTGAATGTTTTACTTGCAAATTAGAATTTTGTTTCAAAGATCAGAAAAAGTTGTTTTTTGATTATCATATGATTTTTATGTAATCATTTTGAGCCAAATAAAATAAAATAATTGAAAAAAAACCGTCCTCCAAAGGTTAACCAAAACTTTCATTTCAATTTCACTTGTAATTCCAGTGAAACAACACCACTTGTTGGTACATGATATAATGAAAAATCGGCAACAATCACCTTAATACAACATTGTTATGATTAACTTGGTAGTGCAGTTCTTTCTGATAGACATAATATTAAAAGACTAAATGTTCAATGACTTCGATCAATAATGAGTCTTGTTCAACAAGACCCAACTCTTTTTAATCTTATTAATAATAATCATTTTTAATAAATGTTTTTTAGTTGCTATTACTCGAACTTTATTATGTTATCCAAAGATTCTTCTTCTCAATGAAGCGACATCGAGAATCAAATTATAAAAATGGAAGAAGTCGTTCGAGAAGCGTGAGATTAAGCAAACACAGACCGAACATGTTTAACAATTGCACATCGTTTATCAATAATTCGAAATTCGAAAAGATAATTGTATTGTTGATCGTGATCAAATAAAAAAAATTGTTATTATGAACAACTATCATAATAACACGCTATTTATTATACATTAAATATGTGACAAGAGTCTTCTGAAACTTACAATGGAGGTATTTGTTTTATTAGTTACTGATGCTAGACGTATTCGAATCAAATTAAAGCTTCCATCACTAAACTAGCAAACTCAAAATACGGACAATAGAGACTTGCAAACCACTGAGTTACATTGCCTTGTCACGTCTTTTTACGATGGACTTTTTGCTGAGTAGATGTCAATTTTCTAACAACATTTATTAATATTCTTGCAGATATTTTTAAGTGTTAGCATTGTGATTAAAGACGAGAATACCTACATACAAGTAAATATGTGTTCGGTTTAGTTTGCTATTTTTATTTCTATAATTGGCAGTGCACAGCAATCGTGTTCTGAGAGTCAATTAACTAATTGACAATTTAAATTTAATTTTAAATAGGTAGCATGTGTACACTAAAGTCATCTATTTCTCCACTTGATGTTATTGCTGTAATACAAGATATTTGTTCAATTGTCCATAATGGTAATCATGACTTCGTCAAGTGCTCCTGAAATGACCTACAGCAAGATTCACAATTTACTCATACGCAACTAGATCCTCGGTGAGTCGGTAGTGGGCGAATATCTTAAGAAAAGGCTAGGCAGGACGATGACGAAGTGGTTTTTCAGCCGGTTCGCGCATCTCTGATGAGCAATAGATAGCGTACGTCAACCGAGATGTTCGAATTTTAAAGTATTTACAGTATATGTACGGTGCTTGCAATTCAAAATTTACCAGAGTTATTTTGTGATGATTGGATAGAGTTCATCAAGTTGCGTAGCAGAAAGTTTGGTTTAAATAAAAAAAAATATTCTACGAAAAATGTCTGAGACACCATCATTTTGAAATATAATTAGGACAAAGTACATGAAATCTGTATACGTCCCGTATTGCACCGTATACGATCGTATTTTAGCGTATTACATGATTTGATGTTACAATCGTATTTTTCGGTATCGTATACGGAGAAATATGACAGTAATACAGAGTCATAAAAGACACCAAAATACGAGGACTTATAGTCGCTTACGAGCATGCTTGTTCAACCTGAGTAAGATAAAAGTAGATTCAAGATTCTGACTCTTATAGACACAATTTTTTTTTTGAAATTTGAAACATACTTTTTCTTATGCAACTCTATGAACTCTGTTCAACAATCATAGAAAAGTCTCTGCTGAAATTTTGAATTGCGATCACTTTAGATATATTGTAGATACTTTTAAATCTGAATACATCGGTAGGCACACTCTAAGAACAACCTATGTTTTAAATTTGTTAGTTTGATGGTTAAAGCTTTAATTTGACCGAAATATATCTACTCTTATTAACTAACAATAGAAACACATCCATTTTTAGAATACAAAACGAAACAAATAGTTTTCGTCTTTTCTAGTTTTTTTTTTTTTCATAGTAATCTGTTGATTGTAATGCCGAAGCTATCATCGGACAGCTGATTCAACATTATTCAAATAAGATACAATTATAACATGTGATATTTTTATTAGGAAGTTTCAAAGGAACTGATGAAAGATTCTTATGAATCAAATATAAAGGTTAAATAACTTTTAAATATCATGTCGTAAGGTCATTGTCAGTTCTTATTAGTTATTACATCTTTTTGTCATCATGCGCATTGTTTTGTTGTTTTTAAATAAAAAATAAAGTCATATAGTTCGTACCTTGTCCGACAACGTACTTTTCGAATGCTGGTATATACTTTTTTTGTGTATCTAGAAAGAAATAATGTTGTCAGTTTTTATGAGTCTCTATTATATATCTTATCAGCTTCAAAGAACCAGAATACAAAGCACTTAATATTCTCTTTTTTACATTTTCATTCTTTACGTTACAGGTAAGCATTGAAAACAAGTTTCTCAGTTAAAATTGTTGTACATATTTCTTATAGGTTGATATATGTAGCTTTATAATCAAGCTACTCTATATATTAATTATGTCATCTATTTTAAAAAGAAAGAAAGTCAGTTGGACTCTCAATCATAATACTGTTGATCATAAAGATCAGGCAATCTCTTATTCCACAACAGAAAATGGCTTATCAAAATCAGGATTACCATCAAACAATAAATCTCAGTATGTATTGGATTAGTCAACAGCGTCCTCTTTTGATGGAATTAGAGATAGATGGGTCTTTTTTTCTGTTTTTCCTAAATAAAACCTCATTGCTTTCTTTGACCGGTTTAAAAAAAATAATCCTTATATTCTGAATCATTTTATACTATAATGAAATATTATACATGTATGATATATGTCTTCTCACGTGTTCATCTATGATAGCCAATGATATTTTAGTTGAGAAAAAGTTATCAGCTGGTACCTGTCATTATAACAATGAGATTAATGAAGAAGCTTTCCGAATTGTGATTTCAATTTAATGCGATGAGAAAATTAAGAAAATCGACCGCAAATCGAAAAAGGTCTCTTTTATATTTTGATATTTGTTTTGTTAATTGCAAACGTCAGGTGTATATGAGTTTCTAGGTCCGTACCTACGATTAGTAATGAAGACACTGAATTAAAAAAAACTTTATTCGATGATAATAATTTCAATGATATTAATGAAAATTTAAAAACCAATATTGTCAGTTTTGTTAAAAATGAATCTGACAATGAAACAGAAGAAATTGAGTCTTCGTAAGATTTTTCTTTGAAGAAATTTAATAATTTTTTTGTAATTTTATTTCTATAGAGAATTAAAGAAGAAAGATGCTAAAAAACAACCTCCAGGTCGACGATTGAAACTATTCGAAATTGTAATTTAATATTCAAGTATTATTTATAAATTCATTGTTGTTTTTTTTTTGTTGTTATTTTTAGTATAAATTTGCTGATAAACTTGATTTTCTTTTTATGTTTATTGGTGCTATAGCTTGTATAGGCACTGGGTGAGTATTTTATTAGTTTATGATAACAGCAGACATTTTTTAAGATATAATTCTATCAATGACGCATTTAAATTTTGACTAGATGAAGGCACTTCAGTAGTATACGGAAGTGATCATGATCAAAAAAGATTTTTTCGGAATTAATTATAATGATTATCAGCTCGTTTTTGAGATTTTTCTGCTGAAAAAAATGTTTAAAAAAAAAATTTCGGTAGAAGGTAAACGCCCAATATTATTTGATAAAAAGAAAGAAAAAAAAACATTTGAAATTCAAACAATAAAATTTTTTGTATTTTTAGAGCTGTATTCCCATTAATGATGTTAGTGTATCAAAGTATGAAATTTTTTTTTTTTCTTAAAAATAAACTTTTTATTCTACTAAATATAATTACAGATGTTGCAACATCATTGGTTAAAACTAGTATTCCTCCGAATCTACTAAATTATACAACACCTCCTAATATTAATCCAGAATGGTTCGATTTTGTTTTTAAATTTCTTTTTCTTTTTGTTTTTTTATTCAATAAAATAAAATAAAATAAAATATTTTTTGTTGATTAGTATTCTCAAACCAGTAAATTCAACTGCAGATACTTTATCCGAGCTTCGTGGAATGATTAAATGGTATCTGATTTTGGGTGTTTGTAGTGTTCTTTGTTATTGGATTGGTTTTTCATTATGGGTATGACAAAAAAGAAAATCTAGTATTTAAAATTAATTTATTAATTGAATATAGATGATTTCGGCTGAACGTCAAGTTCGACGAATAAGATTTGCATTATTTCGTTCAATTTTGAACCAAGAAATGGGTTGGTTTGATAAATTAAATCCTGGTGAACTTAGCAATCGTTTAGTAGCAGATTTAGGTATCAAGGATCATATTAAATTTATTAATTTATTATTTATTGATTTCTTTTTATAGACAAAATTCGTGATGGTTTAGGAGACAAAAAAGCTGATTTCATTAGTTTAATCTGTCGATTATTCGGTGGTCTTATATTTGCTTTTGTTACAGGTAAATTTAAATGAAATATATATATATATATATATATGTAAATTTATTAAATAAAATTCTTTGTAAAAGGATGGAAATTAACATTAGTATTTATAGCACTGAGTCCATTGACTGTTATTGCATTCAATATTACTATGCGAGTTTGTTGATAAATATAAAAAATGAAAACAAAGAATTTCAAAAAAAAATTTTTTTTGTTGTTTATATAGGTTATTGCAAAATATACAGCTAGAGAAATAAAAGCATTTTCAAAAGCAAGTGCTGTAGCACAAGAAGTTCTTGGTTCAATAAGAACTGTAACAGCATTTAGTGGACAACAAAAAGAAGAAGAAAGGTTTTAAATAAAATTTCAAAAAAAAATATTTATTCAAATTTTGATTTAATTTAATTTAGATTTGCAGAAAATTTACGTGAAGCAAAACAAATTGGTATAAAAAAAGGTCTTTATATGGGTTTATGTCAAGCAGCTGCTCAAGTAGCAATTTATATATCATTTACAATTACGTTTTGGTGTAAGTATAGAAATATACTCTACTTGTCAAAAGTAGCCGAAAATTCGAGCGTTGTAGCTCAAAATTTTATTACAAATAGAGCTCACTAGGTTCTGATCTTAGATATCAACCCGCACTCAATAAGGGTAACAAACAATCGAGTTATGAATAAAACACTAATTTGACCTTAGGACACTTAAATCTTTACTATTCGAGCAACAATCATTTTACGTGAGAGAAGCCTCATTCGTTAGGTAGATATCTAGCTTTTTTTACTGTAAAGTTTTTGTACGAAATTAACATTGTCTTGTTAAGTTTTATGTTTTTTTGTTTTGAGAATCGTTTGTCACAGGCATATTAGTGTCTATAGATAAAGTGACTATAACTTAGATAGATTTCAATCGGCTTTTTATTCTAAAAAAAATTTTTAATAGCCAAAGAAGATTTCTTACAAATTAGAAAGTGATAACTATTGATACATAGAAGTTATCGAAGAAACGTGATGTCAATAGTGCAAAGCTCATTACATGTCGAGAGCTCAAAGAATTCGAATGACATTTCTATATTAGACATAAGACATTTAGTTCTTCATTTATTAATGAAAACTTAATTTTCAAATGACGAAACAAGCAAAACTTATCTTAACATCATTTTCGTTTTTTTTTTTTGACCGAAATATTTGTTTCTGGTTAAGATACCGATGTGCAACGAGTAGAACCCGTCGAGTTGGTCTCGAACCCGGTTGGATCCGGATCCCAAAAACGTTCAATAAACAGAGTCTGAATATTTTGGACTCAACGGGCTCTAGTAATGAATTTTGCACTATTAGCGTCACTTTTGTTCGATAACTTCTATGCATCAATAGTTATCACTTTCTAATTTGTAAGAAATCTTCTCCAGCTATTAAGGATTCTTTAGAAAAATCAGTTGAAATCTATTTGAATTATAGTCACTTTATTTATAGATACTAATATATCTGCGCCAAATGATTCTTAAATACGCACATAGAACTCAACAAGACAAAGGTAATCTCACATAACAACTTTATAATAGGAAGGCTAAATATCTACCTAACGAATGAGGGTTCTCGCACAAAATGAAGATACTCGAATAGTGTGAAGATCCAGATGTGTCCTAAAGTCAAACTAGTGTTTGACTCACAACTTCATTATTTGTCATTCTATTGAATGCGAGTTGATATCTAAGATCAGAGTCTATTGGACTCTATTTGTGACAAAATTTTCAGTTTTAACGCTCAAATTTTGGGTTACTTGTATCTGGTATCGATACTTGTAGCCAGTAATGTAATTTAATTTAAGAATTCAAATATTTCCATTTAGATGGACCATATCTTGTACGAACTGAATGTCAAAATTATAATGCTGGAGCTGTGATTGTTGTATGTAAAAAAAAACATCTATGAAAGAAAATAAAAAATATTTACTAGAGCATTCTTAGATTTTTATTTCATGTTTACAATCAACATTTAGTATTTCTCAAATAGTACCAAATATTCAGGCATTTGCTGAAGCGGCTGGTAGTGGTGGTTATGTATTTGATATTATATCACGAGTAATTCTTTATTATGTTTTCTTTGGATTTATAATTGTTTTGGTTTCTATTAGATATCTAAAATTGATGCATTTAAAAGTGAAGGTGAAATACCAACAATGCTTGTTGGTGATATTGAACTTCAAAATGTTATATTCACATATCCAGCTCGACAAGATACACCGGTTAGACAGAATAAAATTTTATTTTATAGTTTTTTAATCATGTATGAAAATTATTTATTAGGTTTTGAATAATGTTACTATGAAAATTCCCTCGGGTAAAACAGTTGCTTTAGTCGGAGCATCAGGATGTGGAAGTTAGTTCGATTTTTCTTTTTCATATATTTTATCAATATTAAAATCTTTTGATTTTAATAATAGAAAGTACATCCATTCAATTGATTCAACGATTTTATGATCCAGATCAAGGTCGAGTTTTACTTGATGGAAAAGATATTAAAACATTAAATGTTGCTTGGCTTCGTTCGCATATTGGAGTAGTTAGTCAAGAACCTGTTCTTTTTACTGGATCAATTGAAGAAAATATTCGTTTTGGAAAACCAGATGCAACTGATGAAGAAGTTCGAGCTGCTGCTAAAATGGCTAATGCACATGATTTTATTATGGCACTTCCAGAAGTATCTTTCTTTCTTTCTTTTTTCATTATTATTTTTTCATTAATAAATTTCTTATGATATAGAATTATAAAACATCATCAGGTGATAAATTAAGTGGTGGCCAAAAGCAACGAGGTAAAAAATAATTAATATTTATTGATAAATTGAAAATGCTATTGTTATTTTAGTGGCTATTGCTCGAGCATTGGTTTCAAATCCAAGGATTCTTCTTTTAGATGAAGCAACGAGTGCACTTGGTTTGTTGTTATTTATTTTTCTTGTAAAAAAACAAAAAAAAACATAATTTTTCCAAATATAGACAATACAAGTGAACGCGTTGTACAAGATGCATTGGATAAAGCAAAAATGGGTCGAACAACAATTGTAATTGCTCATCGTTTGAGTACAATACGAAATGCTGATTTAATCATAGCATTAGACAAAGGCGAAGTGATTGAATATGGAACTCATAATGTATTAATGGATCGTAAAGGTCTTTATTATGAATTAGTAATAGCACAACAGCGTAAAGAAAAAAAAGAAGAGGAAGAGTCATCTGATGAAGATAATCCGATAGAATTACTTGATAAAAGTAATGAATAATAAAATCAAAATTGATATATGATCTATTTTGATTTAGAGGAATTAATGCGTCGACGTACGTTGTCATTTGGTTCGGTACACTCAGAACATTCTGATGTTCCTGATTTGGATACAATGAATGATACAACAGTTGAAATTAAAAAGAAAAGATTTTTTCGTAAACCATTTATTTTTAAAATTCTTAAACTTAATTATCCAGAGTTGAACTGGATTATACTTGGATGTATAACATCAATTACATTTGGTACTATTACACCGGTAAGTCTATGTTTTAAATGAATTTTTTTTTTGTTATTTATTGTTAGACAAGATCTAAAAGGAGTGTTAAAGTATACGGGTAAAAATTTGGACTTACCCCCTTTCTCTACAGGCCATGACAGTTGCCACTCGGAGACCATCACAGACTGTATATATCAATAAAATTTCGGTAGAATATATGAACTACTTCCTTATTACATATATTGAGAATGAAGTAAAAGGATGATGAAGAAATACGTATATTCCGAAACAGATAGAATAAAACAATCTTTCTATAATTAGCAACAACAGCTGCATCCTGTTTTATATTTTAATCTCTCAAGCATTGTGCTAACAGTTTTTTTTTATTTAATTTCAGTTATTTGCATTACTTTTCTCAGAAATTTATGGATTATTTGCTGAACCAGATATTGACAAAGCCAATACACAAACACGTAATTATGCAATAATTATTTTTTTTATTGGCGTTGCTGGTGGTATATGTCAATGTCTAAGTAGTATTGCTTTTTCTAAAAGTGGAGAAGCTTTAACAATGCGTATGCGTATTATATCATTTGCATCAATGCTTAGACAAGAAATAGCGTGGTTTGATAGGGAAGAGAATAGTCTTGGTGCTTTAGTAACTCAACTATCATCAGATGCATCAAATTTAAAAGTAATTGAAAAATATTTAATTAATAATTGATTTATAAAAAAAAAAGCTATTCTTTTAGGGTTTATCTGGAATTCGAATGGGTATTATTTTTAATGCAGTTGGAGCTGTCATATGTGCATTAACGATTGCTTTTCAAGCTGGATGGAAATTAACTTTTATTGTTTTATTATTTGTACCATTAATGTTTTTTTCGGGTATTTTACAAGCAAGACGAATGAGCAATACAAAAAAAACTAAGGAAAAAAAAAGTGGTAATTTATCTTGGGAAGAAAAAGGAGGAACAGTAAGAAAAAGAAATTGATTTATCTATTTTTATTAATAGTTAATAAATTATTTTTATATTTTAGTTTGCAACAGAAGCAATTGATAGTATTCGAACTGTTGTTGGACTTCATCAAGAAGAATATTTTATTTCTCATTATGAAGATTGTTTTAATAATGAGTTTAAGTAAGTTTTTGTTTTTTGTTTCTTTTTTGTACGAATTGAAAAATTCAAATTGTTGTTTTCTTTTTTTCTCTTCTTATAGACGATCACTGATTAAAATACAATTACAATCATTTGGAACAGGTTTAGCTAATTCAATAATGTTTTTTATTCATGCTGCTGCATTTGGATATGGAAGCGTTTTAGTTGAAAATGGAGAAATGGAAGCTGTTCGTGTATTTCGGTAAATGAATAAATATATTAACATAGAAAATATTGCAAATAATTTTTATTCTTTTGTTTCTTTTAGAGTTTTCTCGGTAATTACATTTGGTGCAATGACTGTAGGACGGTGAGTTGGATTGATAGAAATTTTATTTCATTAAGAATTAATTTTTATAGATCAACAGCTATGATACCTGATTATGCAAAAGGAAAAGATAGTGCTATTCGAATATTAAATTTAAATAATCGTCGATCAAATATTGATCCTAATGATACAAATGGAATTGTATTAGTAAGTATTCATAAATCAATCTTAGAATATAAGACAAAGAAAACTTAAAAAGCATTCGTACTGATGACTATTCATTCTTTCGAATAAAATTAATATTATGAAGAAAACATAAATTTATATTTTTTCAAACAATCATTCATAGATTATACCTAGAATTTGAAATTAAAAATATATCAAACAAATAATTTAACTAAATTGAAGAATGAAATTTCTAAACTGTAATGATGAAGAATCTAACCTCTAACTGTTTCTTTAATGTAATGAAAAACCAAAATGATACCATCATGGTATTCATTTTTATGGAATGATTTCGAAAAAGAGGGATATAACTATCTAGAAATAAAGAAGTAATATTATCTCATATTTTATTTAAGACCTATTATTAGAATATTAGATGAATGATAATTTGAGGAAAAAAAAATTCTTGTAGAGCTTTTCAATCTTATTGAAACTTACTTATCATCGCAAGATGAGCTTGAAAGATCGAAATTAGTTAGTATACTTTCCTCGGAAGAATATCTAGATTGTTTCTTGTATTTCATTGAATGTGAAAAATAAGTACACAGAATAATGTTTGACTATGAAATGATAAATATGAAATTGAAAATTTTGTGAAATGATTTATTTAAATTCTTATATCATTAAACTTTTTATTTAATAGGATAAAGTGCAAGGAAATATTCAATTCGATGGAGTTAAATTTGTATATCCAACACGACCAAAATTACGTATTTTAAAAGATTTTAATTTATTAATAAATGCCAGTCAAACAACAGCACTTTGTGGACCAAGTGGTTCAGGGTACATATTAAATTTTAAATAGATTTATTCTTTTTGTTTTTACACGTAATTTTTGTTTATAGAAAAAGTACATGTGTTGCACTTCTTCTTCGATTTTATGATCCATATGATGGTATTGTTTTACTTGATGGTCATGATATTCGAGAATTAAGTTTACCATGGTTACGATCACAACTTGGATTTGTTCAACAAGAACCCGTTTTATTTAATTTAAGTGTTCGTGATAATATTGCATATGGTGATAATGGAAGAAAAGTTTCACAAGAAGAAATTGAACAAGCAGCAAGAAAAGCTAATATTCATGATTCAATTATTTCATTTCCTCAGGTTAACTTTAAAAAAAGAAAATTAATAATAACAATAATGTCTACTATTTATTCCTTTTTCTGATCTTTATTAGGGTTATGACACAATGTGTGGTGCAAAAGGTGCTCAAATAAGTGGTGGTCAAAAACAACGTATTGCTATAGCACGTGCACTTATACGTAATCCCAAAATTCTTCTTCTCGATGAAGCAACGTCAGCACTAGATATTCATAGCGAGCGAATAGTTCAAGAAGCTTTAGATGTCGCACGAAGTGGTCGAACATGTTTAACTATTGCACATCGTTTAGCAACAATAAGAAATTCAGACAGAATTGTTGTTGTTGATCGTGGACGAATTAAAGAAAGTGGTACACATGATGAACTAATGGAACATCGAGGAATCTATCATAAATTAAATATGGCTCAGGAACGCAATGATGATGAATAATTAGTTTGTTTTTTCTTTGACCGGTGCTCTATGCATGAAGTGTTAGTCTATGTTCGATATATTTAAGTTTCTTTTTCTTATATTTTAATATACCATATAATAATTCTTGTTTGAATGAATATTGAAAAATTATTTCTCAAATTTTTATGTTATACGAATACAGTAGTATCATGAGTTATCAAAAATATTAGACAATTTAATTATCATTGTATTTGTAAACGAATAAAAATGTTATAAAAAAAAAATATTTGTAAAAATAAAGAATAAATTCTCCTTTGTGTGATTATATTAATAAAATATGATAAATAAAGTAAATCTTTTGAATCAAATATCATTTAAGACCTTGGTAAATCAATATATGATTAAGATTTGTCTTTCGAAAACAATAATATGAGTTTTCTATGTTAAAATTAAAAATTGTTTTGATGTGCAGCATTCTCACTGATCAAATCGACATATTGATATTCGTTTTGTGAAACACGATCTAAAAGGAGTGTTAAAGTATAGAAGAAGAAATCTGTCCTCCTCCCCCTCCAACAGACATCCTAACAACGACTCTATCCATCAGCGCTTGTGATAGACTTACGAAAAAATCTCTCTTCGAATTATAAGACTTTCAAGATATAAAACCTTCTCTATGGATAGTGTATGCAACAAAGCTTCGCATGGGATAGGACAATCTCATCCCATTCCATGGAATGCAGTAAATATTCTATAGGATCCTATGAGACAAACGTCTTTTACAATAATCTTTTTGTTTATTAAGACCAACCTAATCGTTTCGAAATAGATGTCTTTCTCGCCGCGACATGAACTTGATTACAATAAAATTATGAAATACAAAATGAAATTATGTAAAATTTGGTAGTGTTGATGGAACTGATAGATGTGTTCAAAAATTCTTTTTTTTTATATTTAACAAGTGTGAAGTCCCATGGAATAGGACGGAAAATTTTCCGTTCCATTCTATCCCACACGAAACCTTGGTATACAACATGCGATTTTTGAGAGCTTCGTATCGCAAAAAGACTTTGTTCAAAACTTCTGAATTTTTTTTATCGAAGCTAGTCTAGTAGAATTCTCTATATGTGCAAAGTTTCAAATCGATGTTCGAAAATACGAGTTTCCCGAAAGCCTGAAGTCTCTAGAAAATAGACATATTATAAATTCGATAGCTTCGTCAAATCTCAATAGGAGTCGAAATTAGTTTTGGGGTTTTATTAGAACCCTGTATGGTATCTCTAAGCAAAAAATCATTGAAATTGGAAGGAAGTAGTTGAAGAGGTTTCTTCGTTAGCTACAGAACTAAAGCCTTCTGTGTGATTATTATGAAAGAACATTGAATTTAAGATACTTGTCTTTGGATCACCTGTCCAAACTCATTGTAGCATATTACGAATAGCCTCTTTCATCAAGAATACACCAGTACATTAGAAATCGTAAACTAAAGCATACTTTGCAGATAGAGACGTGCGAGATCAAGGTTTTTTTCGTTCCAATCTAGACAAAACTATCACCGGATTTATTCGTATCACATCTAAAAATTTCTTTCATATTTTTTGTTTACTTATTTAATCGACAATTAACACTTTTTTGGATCATCTCTCTTGAATTATGTTCTGATGAATATTATTTATAAGATAATTTGCTTAAAATTATAAAATATTCAACTATCATCTTCAGGTCCGGTTGAGGCATTTTTTGCGCATAGTTCCGGTTCCGCATATCTCTAGTTGCAAAATATATGCAAGTCAATTACGTTTCAAATTTTAATTCAATCGCGAACTTGCACTAATAACTTTTATTCCTTGTTTCTTATGAAAAGTGTTTCAGGATAGCATTCAATACACAATAACAAATTCAAAATGATTATTACTTGTATAACATTACCTTCGATTCAATTGTCATTACTCAATCGATAATATTATGTATAAACTATACTCATTTCACTATTATTAACCCTTTTAATACGGGTGGTACACCGTATATACCACAGTCATTTGTTCTTAATAGTGAAGTATATTATACATTGATGACTAAAAATGATTGCGTATGCATTCGAATATGCTCATAGCAGATATATAGCGCCAGTGTAACCATACTCGAATGTATACGCAATCATTTCTAGCCACCAATGCATAATATACTTCACTGTTAAAAATAAATAACTGTGGTACACATACGGTGTACCATCCGTCCTAAAAGGGTTAATGTATCATAAAAAAATGTGTCACTAAATTTATCAAAGTTGTCTTTCTTCATTGTTTTTAAAAATCTCTTATAACCATAAAGTAAAATCTATCTGAATTGATTTCATGATAAGAATAAATTTCATTGAAAGTTATTTTTCTTTTTTTATATACCAGGACTATATTGATTACATGACCAAAACAAATGAGATATACATGATACTTAATGTCGACAATATAAATTCGTTTCATTCATCTCTTTTCATCAAATGTGTTAAATAACAAAAACAGCGAAAAAAACTGCGCGTATATCTGTCAAGTTTCAATGCACATCAAGAAAAAAAGAACAAGAAAAAGAAAAGGCCGATTAGAATAAACATGCAGAGAAGAAAAAAACAAAAGAGATAACGATTTATGGTTTTCTTTTTTTGTCTTGAATAATAAACACATACACATATTTAGACAAAAACAAACAAAAACAAACAAGTGACAACCAACTTCTTTGTAGTAGTTTCTAAAGTTATTTATTTAATTATCTGCGGGTGATCTTGAACGACTTCCACGACGAACAGTACTTCCAGTAGCGACACCATTTCGTTTACCATAATTTGGTGAAGCAGATTTTGAACGTGAACGAGTTGCTGGTCTATAAGAAAAATTATTTAATAATCATTTAAAATCAAAAAAAGACAAAATTCAATTCTTTTTTTTTCCTTTTTAATCGTCTCAGAGATCTTAGTGGATAGTTGTATCGTCATTCTATCTTTTCGATAGATCAAGAGTAGCAACTATGGTCATCATCACTGGCGACATTTTTTCTTTCTTCATATATAAATTCAATTATCAAAATTTTCATTTACCGTCGTGGTACAGGTGAACGTGAATATGGTGAACGTGATCGACTACCACCACCAGCAGCTCGACGACGATCTCTAACCACTGGAGAACCACTTCGTTGTCGACGATCACGACTAAAATATTAACATTCTTTCACAAAAAACATATAAACTAAAAAAAAATTTTTACCTTCGTGATCGATCACGTCGACCAAAATTTCCACCACCACGCCCATGACGTGCTTCTTTTTCTCTTGATCTCATTTCCGATGGTGCTTAAAAAATGTTAATCATTAGTCTAGGAATTAAATTTCTTGTAAAAAAATTTTACTTTTACGATCACCTCGTGCAAATTCAACTTCAATTTCTCGACCAAGTAAACGATAACGATCAAGTGCATGAAGTGCTTCTTCTACAATTAAATATTCAAAAAATTTTTCCTATCAACAAAATAATTTTTATTTACCAGCATCTCGACTTTCTTCATATTCAACAAAACCATAGCCTAAAAAAAAACAAATTTTTATCTCTACAAAATATTCAAATTATTTTCATTTACCTTTAGCATCTCTTGTATAATAATCTACAGGAAGTGTTATATCAACAATACGTCCATATCGAGCAAAGATTTTCTTTAAATCTTCATAACTAAATAAAATAAATAATTGAATATAACAATGAAATGAATTGAATATATATATATGTATGATAATTTTTCTTATTTTAATGGATAACTCTTTCTCAGAAAAACAAAAAGATGCATACGTCTATTGTTTTTGCTGATGATGTGTAAAATTGTCTGAGACTGTCTTATTGTATTTGATATGGATAGAGTAAAGAAAATTCTTTTTGACTTGGATTGTGCTTGGTTATTATGAATGAGTGTGGTGTGTGTGATTTCTTTTGTTGGATCACGTTTGAAAACACACCTTAGGAAAAAAGAAAAGATCAACATATATGATCGATCGGGAAAGTGAGAATGAACTTCTTTGAAAATGTTTTTCCTTTTTTTTTTTATTTTAAGGAAGAAAAAAATTCTTTGTTTTTTTTTTTCAAAGTTAACATACCGAGTTTTTTCAGAAAGTCCACGAACATAAAGTGAAGCACTAAGATTACGTGAATGACGGCTGGACATATTTATTAACTTTTTCTGTTTTGTATTACGATGTATAAATGAAGATGTTCAACACATAGAAAAGAAATGAAGAGAAAGAAAAACACGAAAGAAAGAGTGATTTCTTCTTTTGTGTTTAACCTCTAAATGCATTAATGTTCTATTTCTTATCTTGATTTTTATTGGTTAAATCTTAAAATCTAGAACATGTGTTCTTTGTGTATATAGTCCGAATTGCCGGTATTTGTGCTTTATTTTCGTTCTATGAATATACTAACAATAAAATGAGCCTAGTCATGAATAGAAAAGAAGATATTTTCGTTTTCTTTTTTGTTGAAAATGTTGTGAAGTTTTGAATATTATATGTTTGATTGTTTTGTTGTAGATTTTTTTTTGTCAAAATTTTTGAACATTCCGTATCAAAATGGAAAGTAAGTTTGAAAAAGAATTGGACTTTGACCTGAGCTTTGTTATCAAGGATGACTAAGGAATTCTATTAAATCCTGTTTTTTATCTCGTATAAGGACTCCTATCAGTTATCTTTTATTTTTGCTAGCACCAAAACGAAACGAAACAACAACACCAATAACAATTTCCGAAGGATCAGCAACTTTAGCTGAATCGTCAGGTGGTCTTGCATTTGAAGTTAAACTTGCTGAATCACCACGACATTCTGCACCAATTCATCCACCAACACATTTTCTTTCACCAAGTACAAAAGGAAATCAAAATGATTTAACAACATCATTAACACCAGAAAGTATAACAGAAAAATTAAAACGTGCTGAAGAACGTCGTCTTAGTTTGGAACAACTTCGTGCAACATTACTTGCAGCAGAAAATAGTCGTCCAGTTGAAGTT